CAGCGAGCCGAGTCCCCCTGGGGACTCGCCCAGCTTGGACTCCCTGGAGTCTTTCTCCAACCTGCATTCTTTCCCCAGTAGCTCTGAGTTCAATAGTGAAGAGGGAGCGGAGACCAGGGTCCCCGAAGACGTGGAGGAGGGCGCGGCGGGGCCGCCCAGGGCTGCACCGCTGTGCAAAGAGGAGGAGGAGGAGGACCCGGCTCAGGTGCTAGTGGCCTCCAAAGAACGCTTTCCGGGACAGTCAGTGTATCACATCAAATGGATCCAGTGGAAAGATGAGAACACGCCCATCATCACCCAGAATGAGAATGGCCCCTGCCCTTTGCTGGCCATCCTCAATGTTTTGCTTCTAGCCTGGAAGGTACAATCTGCAGCTTTCTACTTCCTACAGCTTGTGGGGAGGGGCAAAATGGGGTGAGGAAACTGTTGTTTGTCAGCTGATGGCTTCCTTGTTTCTTCATTCATCAGACTCCTCCTTTTTTTGAGACAAGGTTTCTCTGTGTAGCTTAGGCGGTCTTCGAACTCATGATCTTCATGCTTCAGCCTCCGGGGTGCTAGGTTTATAGGCAGGCAACCACCATGCCTAACAGCCTCTTCTTACATGAAATTAATTCCAGGATTTCTTTATTGAACAATTATTCACAATTGTATGTGTCAGGGAGAATTGCCCTAACTTCAGGTACCTTTTGTATTAAAAGTTCAACAGTCAGTTAAAGGTTGTAACTGATGGTGTACTTTTAAACAGGTAGAATCTAGAGCACCCTACACCTACACCTGCTGAATATTTTTAACTACATTCGTCCATATATTACTCCTTCCTACTGACATTATCACATATGCAAAATAGTGGAAATTGGAAAAAAGTGATCTTCAGAGTTATTATCAATGTGATATCATGAAGTAAGTTTTAATGATTATTTATACACTTTTCTAGAGAATGCTGCCTGCCCCACTTGGGTGTGGATATGTAAAGGAATGGAGATAGGGAAGATATAGCCAGCCCTTTTTAGATAAATTCCATTTAAGTAAAAGCTTTATTCTGAGCCCACTTACCATAAATTAGTTGTTTTCAAAGACTATATTTTAACCTTGTGTACGATTTTTTTTTTACTTGCCTTGTTTCTTTGGCTCTACTTCAAAGGTTTGGCTTTTTTTTTTTTTTACCAGTAACTATACATTTAGAATGTGTTAAGGAAGCTAAAACTATTAACTAAAATAAGAAATGACAAGTCTAAGATACTGGAGCACAAAAGTGGAACGATAGGTGTATTGAGGCCTCAGAATAAAGTGTCATATTTAAGCTTGCAGTTTCTGGGTGCTGAGAGGGTGCATCTCAGCACCTGTTTTCAAATTGATAATTCCATCTGCAGTTAAAATGTCCCCTAGAAGAATAGCTTGAATTTTTTTAATCGGTTATGAAGAACGGAGACGGACAATGAGAGGAGAATCTCAAACATGAGTTTCACATTGGGTATCTGGGACTCTTGATGGAACCACCTGGGTTCCAATCATCTGGGGTAGTCTGTGAATGGGTATGCATGCTAATGAATTTGAAGGTTATTTTGATTAACCTCTGCTCATAGCATTCTAGGGCTTTTCTATCCCAGAGTTCCAAACATCCACATTCTTTCTACAAGCCAGTTCAAGAGGTCTAAGAGCTACATGGTCAGGTTTATCATAGCTAAGGCTCCATTCCAGAGGACCAATTTTCTGGCATAGTTCCCTTTCTCATTGCCGTAACAAAATAAATACCTGACAAAAGCAACTTAAGGTAGAGTTTATTTTCGATCACAGTTTGAGGGTACAGTCCATTAAGTCAGGGAGTGCATGGCAACTGGAGCCTGAAGGAACTAGTCTCATTGCAGTCATAGTCAGGAAGTAGGGAGAGATGACTGCTCAATTGGATTTCTCCTTTTTATTTAGTCCAAACCCACAGCCAATGAATTGCCACCCACATTCAGAATCGGAGGGGCAGTTACCATGGCTTGGATTACTTTGTGGATATATGAGCCTTGAATTGACTCTGAAAGACAGACTCAAATGTGTAACCACATGTTTGAGTTCTGGTTTTGTGGAAGACACTACAAATGCAAAAACAGTACAAAGAACATCAGCCTTCCAGTAGCTCAAGATATGGTAAGAAGGTGGACATAAAGAGTAATTGTGTGCTAAGAAAGTACCAAAAAAAAAAAAACCCAAAAATAAACAAACAAACAAAAAGGAGTGGTGGGTAACTGGGAATGGGATCTCAAAGGCTTCAGAGATGAGACACACTGATTCAGGTCAGAAGATTGAATGAGATAAGGCCTCTGGACAAAAGGATACATTTGAAGAAAAATCAGAGATAGTTTGTTTTGATCACTTCCAAGTTTAGTTGAAATGCAGTGGGTATGGGGCAAGAAAGAGTCATAAGCAAGAAGTAAATTTGATGGGTTTGGTTAGTCTGTAAAAGAGTATGCATGCTAATGAATGTGAAGATTGTTTTGAAAATCTGTGGTTCTCTTTTTTTTTGCCTGTAGGCTATTTATGCCAACAAAAACCAGTCATCATTAATGATTAATAGGGAGATGGGTGAGAGAAACAATGTCAAGTAGTATACTCAAGGTGAGCCAGGGTTTCTAGAGGTCAAAACTGTTTTCCTAATAATACAAAAATGTTATTTGTCTTTTGGACATCAGCAGAGATTTCCAGATTTTTTGATGGATGGATGATGATTGAGGTTAAAAAGGAGAACAAAAGGGCATCCACTATACACAACACACTTGTGTGCATACTCCACATCTGTGGAGGTCAGATGTCAGGTGTTTTTTTTTTTATATCACTCTCAGTATTTCTTGTTTCGGTTTTTTGGAGATAGGGTCTCTCAGTTGAACTTGTTCTTTCAGTTAGACTGACTAGCCAGTGAGCCCTGGTTGTGCCTGTCTACTTCACCACCCTTTAGTGCTGAGGTATAGAACTATGAATGACACTGCAACCCAGTTTTTACATTGGTGCCAGGGATCTAAATTCAGGTGTACTTTTTCCACTGAGCCATTGTCCTAGCCTCAAGGTTTTGGTTTTTTTTTTTTCAAGTTTCTTTTCATAGTTAGCATTATATTGTACAAAATAATGGGTTTTACTATGACATTTTCATGCATATATATACTAATTATATAGAAAATAATGGATTGCATTATATTTGTTTTCTGATTTTGAGACAGAATCTTATATATCACAGGCTGGGCTCCAACTTGCTGTGTAGCCTAGGGATGATTTTTGAATTTCTGTTTTTCCTTCCTCAACCTCCAAAGTACTGGAATTACAAGCATGTGCCACTACTCCCAGTTTATCTGGTTCTGGGGTTAACCAGAGCTTCATATATGCTAGGCAGACACCTGTCAACTGAGCTACATCTCCAACCCTCGTTATAGCATTTTAAAACATGTTTGTGGTGTACTTTGATCATCTTCACCTAACTCCAGGTGCTAGTTTCTTCTTTAGTGTATATGGGTGTTTTTGCCTGCATGTGTATCTATGTGCTCCGTGCATGTCTGGTTCCCAGGAATCCAGAAAGGGGCACCAGATCTCCTGGAATTGGGGTTTCTGACAGTTGTGATGTACCATATGAGTGCCTGGTATTGATTCTTGGTCCTCTAGAAGAGCAGCCAGTGCTCTTAACCACTGAGCCATCTCTTTCTAGACCCAAGGATTAGTTTCTTAGTCTATAAAGAGCACTTATAAATGAGCAGGAAAAAAAGCTGAACAATATGATGACAAAAGGAGAAAAAAATCAAAAGCAAAAATCTTTACCGGGTGGTGATAACACACACACTTAATCCCAGCACTTGGGAGGCAGAGACAGGTGGATCTCTGAGTTCAAGGCCAGCCAGAGCTACACAGAGAAATCCTGTCTCCAAAAATGTAAGAAGAGAGGGGTGGGGAAGAGTGGGAGGAAGGGAGAAAGAGAGAGGGAGAGGGAAAAATTTAAAGTTCAAATGGATGTTGAAGTTCCATGTCTATGAGCATCTTTCCAGCAGTGACTATTTGCTGTGACTACTTTTCAATGACATCTCATCTCTTCTCCTGTGTGTGTGTGTGTGTGTGTGTGTGTGTGTGTGTGTTTTCCCACAAATCCTTCACGTTACTTTTTGTCTTATTCTGCCCCATCCTAACCCCAAGCTTGTAGAAGAATTGTAGTCACACTAATTTTTTCATGCTATCTTTTCCTAAAGTAAGCACAAAACTCTTTTGAGGTTTTCCAAGTACATTTATTGCTTCTAAAAAAGGAAAAACAGATGGTGAGCCAAAGGTTTTATCTTAGCCTCTGCCTACTCTGTTTTAAATATAGATCTTGTAAGGAGAAATTAAAAACTTTACACAGTAGTGGGACCTTATCTACATAAAAGATTTGAGGAACAGTTCTGGGGCTTCCTTTCCCACTTTCTCCCTAGAATTAGAAGTAATATGTGTCTCTGGACTTGTGTAAAGTAGGAGAGAACAGTGTGATCCTGCATGGGTGGATGCCTGGTTCTGATAGTATTCCTTCAGTGAAAAAGCCTTCCTTTTCCTTTTCCAATCATGCCTATGGAGGTCCAGGTAAAGGATATTTGATTTTTGAATACATGTAGTACCAATAAACTAGGCCTTTGAATATAGTAATTTTTTGTTTCTACTTTGTTTTGAAGCAGGGTGTTGGTATTTAGTCACTGCATTTGAACTCTCCATCCTCTAGGTTTAACCTCTTGAGTGCTAGAATTACAAGTGTGCAGCAACATACCTGGCTTAAAGTCAACTTTGATGCTGTTCTCATTATTCTCCACTATTTTAAAAAAATAAGATATTTTCGTGTATCTTTTGTGGGACGAGAGATTGTTTTTCATGCATGTATGCATGTGTACCACATGTATGCCTGGTGCTGGGCCAGAAGAGGGCATCAGAGTCCTTGGAACTAGAGTTACATATGGTTGTGAACCTAGATGTGAGTGCTGGGAATGGAACTCTAGTAAGTGCTCTTAGCCTTTGAACCACCTTTTCAGCCACTTATTCTCTACTTTTACTTTTCAAATTATTTCTATTTTGTATGTATGATTGTTTTGTCTATATATATGCATGTGTACCATGTGAGTGTCTGTGCCTTTCAAAGGCCAGAGGAAGACAGAAGGCATCAGATCCACTGGGACTACAGTTAGAGGCAGTTGTAAACTGCCATGTAGGTGCTGGAAATAGAACTTGGGTACTCTGAAGGAACAGCCAGTGATCTGGTGCCACTATCTTTCTAGTGCCTTATTCTCCACTTTTAATTGATTAAGGTGCTTTTTCTTTGGTTTGGTTTTGTGACAGGTCTTAAATTTACTATGTACCTAAAATTGGTTCTGATCCTTC